ATTTCTATTGAATTTTTGTAGAATTTGACCAACTCACTAACAAATGAAGATTTTTTAAACATCCGAAATGAAAAAAATCGAAAAACTGAGATTATTCAAAATTTCATATACCGATTTTTTCTTTTTTGTCTTAAGGTACTACTACACTTTAGAATTTAAAATTTTTTTTTTGTATTTTTTAACTCCTTATGACTTCAGAAAACACCTCTCAAAGTAATTATAACCAATTTTAAAAATAAAAGTAAGTTTTTCAAAAAATATTCATTTAATGTAAAAAGTCATTGACAAATTAAGTAAGTCTTTAAGGGTATGTCCAAGTTGTGAAATGTAAACAAACCAAAAGGTAAACAAACCAAACACAAAAATCGCACTTTTGTAACAGCCATTTCTCTTACAAAAATTAACATTTTTACACTTTCTCTACAAAAATGGAAAATTAGAGTTTCAAAGTGTCCAAAAAAATCGTTTTTGGCTATGAGCAATAAAAAGCAATTTATGAAATAACTAATTAAAATGACCAGTAAAATAGCATTTTTGACGCGTCGCGAAAAATAAACTGTTTGAGTATATCAACCGCACGGATGATGAAGAAGTTCCATGTCAGCGATTGGACCTTCAACATGTGGAAGGGTAAATTTTTCCCTTTCTTCCTTGAAATTACAAGAGAAAGGGTAAAAACTTCTTCATCGTCCGTGCGGTTGATATAGTCAAACACTATTTTTTCGCGACCTGAGACTTCGTTGCTCTCTGCGCAAGCGCAGAGCGTACTAAGAATGCATTGACAGCACCATGTGGAAGTGCACATTTTGTTTTGATTGAAACTTAGTTGTTTTCTCATTTTTTTTACCTATGCAAGGCGTAGTAACCAAATAGAATACGTCAGTTCACCATTTTCATAAAGAAAATGTGAATTTATATTTATGTACGAAAATGAGACCTCGTGCAAAAATGCTTCAAAATAGCGCATAGTAAAGCATTTTTGCACGAGGTCTCATTTTCGTAAATAAATACAAATTCACATTTTCTTTATGAAAATGGTGAACTGACGTACTCTATTTGGTAACTACGCCTTGCATAGGTGAAAAAATGAGAAAACAACTAAGTTTCATTCAAAAGAAAATGTGCACTTCCACATGGTGCTGTCAATGCATTCTTAGTACGCCCTGCGCTTGCGCAGAGAGCAACGAAGTCTCAGGTCGCGAAAAAATAAAGTGTTTGACTATATGAACCGCACGGAAGATGAAGAAGTTTTTACCCTTTCTCTTGTAATTTCAAGGAAGAAAGGGAAAAATTTACCCTTCCACATGTTGAAGGTCTAATCGCTGACATGGAACTTCTTCATCATCCGTGCGGTTGATATACTCAAACAGTTTATGTTTCGCGACGCGTCAAAAATGCTATTTTTCTGGTCATTTCAATTAGTTATTTCACTAATTGCTTCTTATTGCTCATAGCCAAAAATGATTTTATTGGACTCTTTGAAACTCTAATTTTCCATTTTTGTAGAGAAAGTGTAAAAATGTTATTTTTTGTAAAAGAAATGGCTGTTACAAAAGTAGGATTTTTGTGTTTGGTTTGTTTACCTTTTGGTTTGTTTACATTTCACACCTTGGACTTACCCTTAAGGGGGGATGGTGGGGTCCAGCTTTTTGTTACGACCAGTAGAAACATTGGTGCTAATGTATGTAAGAGTGTCTGAAATAAAAAAAATTGTTGGGTTTTAATTTGCAAAAGAATTTTAGGTAATTTATGGATGGTCTCTGACGATACATATAAGTTTTTACTGAATCGATCCTTCAAATGTTGGAAACATTGGGACTTGAACTTGAAATCTGCAGGGGTCAAGCATATGACAACGGATCAAATATGAAGGGGAAACATGTTGGCGTACAAAGAAGAATATTAGACAACAATCCGTTAGATGATTTTGTATCATGTGGATCCCACAATGCAAATCTTGTAATTTCTGATGCCGCACAATCTTCAGTTAAATCAGTAACTTTTTTCGGTATACTTCAGCGCTTGTTCACATTATTCTCTCCTTCAGTCAATCGGTGGACAATTTTGGCTGATCACGTTGAGCTGTATACGTTAAAAAACTTGTCTGACACACGTTGGGAAGCTAAAATCAGTAGTGTAAAAGCAGTTCGTTACCAAATCGGTGGAATTCATGACGCTTTAGTGACTTTATCTGAAATTCCAGGTGGCAATAGTCATATAGCACATGAAGCTCTTACTTTAGCAGAACAATTAAAAGACTTTAGCTTTCTTGTCTCACTGATAGTATAGTACGATACTCTTTTTCAAATAAATGTTGTCAGTAAGTCACTTCAAGCAAAAGATATGGACATAATAAAATGCGTAAAAATGTTAGAAAATTGCTGCAACTTTCTAGAAGACTATAGAAAAGAAGGTTTTAAAAAGGCTATTGTTTCAGCAAGAGAATTAGCAGATGAGCTTGAAATTGAACCAGTTTTTAAAGAAATAAAACGAGTACGACGTGTTAAGCGGATGTTTGATAAAAAAAAACAGAGACGAACCCATCACTTGTCCTGAGAAGAAATTAGAAGTTGAATTTTTTTACCCGTTGTTGGATACAATTTTAGGATCAATGAAAGAGAGATTTCAACATCTTAAAGAATTCTCAAGAATTTGGGGATTTTTGTATAATGTTGATAATTTGCCAGATCGAGACAAACTTTTAACATCCTGTCAAAATCTTCAAATTAAATTAACAATGAATTCAAAATCAGATATTGATGGCCATCAACTTTGTGATAAATTGTTGAGCATCAAAGGATTTCTTGTGGATAAAGCGAAAGAAAAAATTACTCCACTAGTCCTATTGAACTTCATAAAAAAACATGATTTGCAAGATTTATATCCGAATATTTGGATAGCCATGCGCATTTTATTAACAATACCGGTGACTGTTGCAAGTGGTAAACGTAGTTTTTCAAAACTAAAGTTGATTAAAACCTACTTAAGATCTACAATGTCACAAAATAAACTTTCTAATTTAGCAACTTTATTTATTGAACACGATATCGCTGAAAATCTAGATACCTTTGCTCTAATTCAAACTTTCGCTGAGACAAAAGCTCGAAAAGTTAATTTTAAAAACTAATTAAACTGGGTTAAAATTGTATAAATGCCCGTTTCTGTTTATACGCATATAATTCCTACAAACATACTCAAGTGCTTCAATTAATTTTTCATTTTGAAATTCAATAGGAGACTTATCATCAATATAAAGGCATCTAAATCCCAAGAATTAGCAATAATGATTCGTTAAAATTTATTGTAAAAAGATTTGTCAAGTTGTGAAATATAAGTAATAAACTATTGAGTAAATTTTGGACTACTATAACTTATAGCATAATCTATAATATTGCTTTATTTTTCTCAAATTCGAGCCCATGCATGGGGCGCCTGGGGCAATTTGCCCGAGGGCGCAAGGAGGGCTAGGACAGGCACTGGATTTAAGTCGACCTCTTAAAATCGGCCAAAAATATTTTTTTTTCTATTCTGTACCGAAAAAAACAGATACCTATTATTTTATTTATGTTTAATTGTCCAAATTTTCGAGTTATGAATTTTCGAAAATTTGGACTTTTAATTGTAGACCTATATTCAGTAGCTTATAAGTCCGAAAATATTAAGTTTAGGAAAAAGTTGTAAAAGAATGAAAGTTTTAGTTTTATTTCGACTTTTAAGAAATGTTAACAAAAAATTTTTTTTTTAATTTTTTATTGAAAAAAATTTTTTTTTTATAAACAAATTAATTTTTTTAACTTTGGGCCAGATTTTTTTTTGTACCTTATAATATAGAGAAGATTTTTCAAAAAGTCTCGAAATGGGCTTGATGTGTTAAATGAGTTTTAAAATATTTTCAAAAATCAATTGCAAGCATTACAGTGGGATTTTTTTACAATTAACTTTCTAAAACTGTCTACAGCGTATAATTTTTAATATATTTGAGTGTTCTTTGTTTTAAATAAAAGTGTCTACGCTTTAAAAAATTAAATGTAAAAAAAATCCCACTGTGATGCTTGCAAGTGATTTTTGAAAATATTTTAAAACTTATTTAACACATCAGGTCCATTTCGGGACTTTTTGGAAAATCTTCTCTATATTATAAAGTACAAGAAAATAAAAAAAAATCCGGCCCAAAGTTAAAAAAAATTAATTTGTTTATAAAAAAATTTTAAAAAAAATTTTTGTTTACATTTCTTAAAAGTCGAAAGAAAACTAAAACTTTTATTCTTTGAAAACTTTTTCCTTAACTCAATATTTTTGGACTTATAAGCTACTGAATATAGGTCTACAATTAAAAGTCCAAATTTTCGAAAATTTATAACTCGAAAATTTGGACAATTAAACATAAATAAAAAAATACGTATCTGTTTTTTTCGATGCAGAATAAAAAAAAAATATTTTTTGCCAATTTTAAGAGGTCGACTTAAATCTCACGTGGAATTGCCCATATGTAGTATTTAAAAGGAGGGATATTGTTATTTAATCGATTTCTTTCTTTCCTAATTTGTATTTATTTCTTTTAATCAATCATATTTCTTCTCCATATATTTTTTTATAAAAAAGGAGTTTAATTTTGGTGTACAGAACCCTCGATTTTAGTGCGAGTGTGACTCGCACTTGTTAGATTTTTTAAATTAAAATTTAGAGAAATATTGTTCAAATGTTGCAATATTATATGCAAAGCGATAAAAAAAATTAACTTTCTGCGTATCGACAAAAAAATTTCTTAAAAACATGCTTTTTTACCGTTTAGACCTTACCTCCCCATTAACTGTGTTGCATGATAATTCTGTTAAATGTCAATTCTATGGCATAAAAATTCTTTTAAATGTCAATTCTGTTGCATGACAACAATTCAGCTAAATATCAATTCCGTTTGCATATTAACTGTGTTGCTCTATATAATTTAGCTAAAAGCCATATACTAAATAGTATTATGTAGTAAGTTTTGTAAAACATACCATTTCGATTTTCTTCAACGTAGAGGCTTGTTCTCTGTCGCTTTCTATCGCAATTGTATCTCATCTTCGGTTCCATTTTTTTAACAAGTACATGAGTAGGTGTAGTGAAATCATCTGGACCTTCATTTAATGGCTCTCTTCTCTTTTTCTTCCAAACAGTCAAAACAATAAACCAACCGAGAGTAATCAAGACAAGAGAAGAAACACCTTAAAACAAAATAGTATGTTGTAAATATGAAATTCTACACAATTTCAAAGCAGATATCGCTTGGATTTCATGACGAATTTTGTTATGAATTCTGTGATTCAAATTAAAGCTGTCAATTTTACGCAGAAATTAATTTCAATTCCAAAATTTAAATATAATTTTTGCAGATCAGGAAACATGCTTAAGTAGGATTCTTTATTTATTCTTTATCCTATATAGGATTATTGACTTTACTATGGTGACTCTAATTACATAAAAATTGAATACATAAAAGAAATTATAAATGTCGGAACCCAAAATGGCGGGTTTTTTTAAAAAAAATTGTTCGGATTTCCTTGAAAATCGATGCTCGGGGATTTTCGAGATCGTTAATTACGAATTTGAAGTCGGTTGTTAAACATTAAAAATGGCGGACCCAATATGGCGGCCAAAAAAGTTAAAAATTTATCAGATTCACTCGATAATCGTTACTCTGGGGTTTTCGGGGTCGTTAATAATAAATAGGATAATGTCCGTTTATAAAAATTTTAATTGTCGAATTCAATATGGCTTACGATTAAAATTTTTGCATACTTTTGTGATTCTTGTTGCTTAGGTGTTTCCTCAAGCCGCTAATTGTAAATCTGAATTATTTTTAGTTCTGGAATGCACAGAGAAAAACTGATCTCAGCATGAGTCACGGAAGAGACTCATTATATACCTCAAGCTGATTTTAGAAAAAATTAAATAATAAGGATCATAAGTGGCAGATTTGCGGGGATCTGAAAATAATAACTATGTTACTCGGACAACAAAGTGGATTCACCAAATTTCAATGTTATTTATGCGAATGGGACCGCAGATATAGAGGAAACCATTACACACGTAAGATATAGCCTAAAAGAACTGTGTTGGAACCCGAGAAAAAAATATTGTACATAAAGCTTTAGTTTATAGAAAAAAATGTTAATTCCACTATTACACGTCAAACTCGCGGGTTAATGAAGCAATATGTAAAAGCCTTGGATAAAGATGGTGAATGTTTTAAGTATTTGGTGGAAAAATTTCCAAAACTTTCGGATATTCGGATGCAAAAATAAAAGAAGGCGTGTTTGATGGGCCTCAGATACAAAAATTATTATACAACAAACAATTTGTTCTAAAAATGAAACCTAAAGAAATAGCTGCCTGGTTAAGCTTCAAACAAGTTTGTCTAGAATTCCTGGGAAACAAAAAAAGCGACAAATATAGAGAAATTGTGGCAAAAATGGTGTACAATTACAAACGATTAGGTTGCTTAATAAGTTATAAGGTCCACTTTTTAGATTCCCATATTGCTGAGTTTCCCAAAAATCTTGGTGATCTCAGCAAGGAACAAGGCGAGAGATTTCACCAAGATATAAAGGACATAGAAAATCGCTACCAAGGAAAATGGAATAAAAACCTGTTAGCAGACTACTGTTGGACGCTAAAAAGAAACATACCAGAGGCCAAAAATTCAAAGAGGAAAAAAAGAGCTCCTCTCCGGAGATCATTTGAATCAAAGAGGATAAGGTATTCAAGAAATAAAGATTAAAACTGCTTTAAATTTCACATTTTGAATTTTTAAAAACAGACATTATATTTGTTTTCAGCGACCCCGAAAACCCCAGAGTAAAGATTTTCAAGTGAATCTGATTAATTTATAACTTTTTGGCCACCATATTGAGTCCGCCATTTTTAATTTTTAACAACTGACTTCAAATTCCTAATTAGCGACCCCGAAAACCCCCGAGCATCGATTTTCAAGGAAATCAGAACAATTTAAAAAAAACGAAATTTCAGGTCCGTCATTTTTAATTTTTTTTATGTATTCAATTTTTATGTAATTAGAGTCACGGAATTAAAATTAATAGTGAAAATATGCCAACTTTTGGTCCGACTACTTTTTTCTCTTTAGATACACCCTAAGAAAGAGAATCCACCATATGTCACTCTTCGCACTCGGAATTCTTTTTTTGTGTGCCTGTGCAATTTCGGATTCTTAGCATACAGATTTCGAATTGTTTCGGAATAGGATTTTGACACATTTAATTTCAAATTGTTACGGACTAATACCGGATTTCTTGCTTACAGAGTTCGGATTGCTCCGGACATTTTTTACTTTTAATTGTAGACCTATATTCAGTAGCTTATAAGTCCGAAAACATTGAGTTTATGAAAAAGTTGTAAAAGAATGAAAGTTTTAGTTTTCTTTCGACTTTTAAGAAATGCAAACAAAAAAATTTTTTTATAAACAAATTAATTTTTTTTAACTTTGGGACGGATTTCTTTTTATTTTTTTAAAATGTATTTATACCCTATAATATAGAGAAGATTTTTCAAAAAGTCCCGAAATGGTCCTGATGTGTTAAATGAGTTTTAAAATATTTTCAAAAATCAATTGCAAGCATCACAGTGGGATTTTTTTACAATTAACTTTCTAAAACTGGCTACAGCGCATAATTTTTAATATATTTGAGTGTTTTTTGTTTTAAATTAAAGGATCTATGCTGTAGACAGTTTTAAAAAGTTATTTGTAAAAAAAAATCCCACTGTGATGCTTGCAAGTGATTTTTGAAAATGTTTTAAAACTCATTTAACACATCAGGCTCATTTCGGGACTATTTGGAAAATCTTCTCTATACTATAAGGTATAAATAAATTTTAAAAAAATAAAAAAAAAATTTGGCCCAAAGTAAAAAAAAATTAATTTGTTTATAAAAAAAAATTTTTTCTTCATACCTAAGTCGAATGTACGTACTTCCCTCTTGGATTTCGCAGCAGAAAGTCAAACATTTACACTTTGGTTAATATACACACACGCCCTCTATTACAGCGGGAGTAAAAAAATTCTTTATTGGTAAAAACACCAATGTCGGTAAATAAGAAAATTGCGAGTTCCAGAAAATTTAACGAATTTTTTTTTCTTTGACAACTTTTTCCTAAACTCAATATTTTCAGACTTATAAGCTACTAATATAGGTCTACAATTAAAAGTCAAAAATTTCGAAAATTCGTAACTCGAAAATTTGGACAATTAAACAAAAATAAAAAAATACGTATCTGTTTTTTTTCGATATAGAATAGAAAAAAATATCTTTGGCAGATTTTAAGAGGTCGACTTTTTCACGTGGAATTGCCTATATATAATTTAAGATTGAAATTAAATTGTACTAATGAAATTTAATCTTATTTCATTATTCTAAAAATAACAAACTGCAACTTTTTTTAAATAATAGAAATAAATTTAAATAATAAAAAAAATAAATGGTATTAAAAGTTATAAAAATTTCACTAGTCAAATTTGTAGCAAAATTCTAAAATTCTTAATTGAATGTATCATTCTTTTATTGCATTTTATAAAAAATATTAAAACTGTATTTGTAAACTTCACTACTATCGGGTCAAAAAGTATAGGCTCTTTACTTTGAAAGCTTATATCTCAGGTAGAAAAAATCGCATTACATTAAGACTACCAGTAATGAAAAGCTGCACTATTCCTGCGTTCCTATACGTAATGGCGGAAAACAGAACAATTTTTTGCATTAGTTATTGATTTTTGAAGGTGAAAAATACACGGTTTTTTACACCATTCCAAGAAGGGTCCACTTTGAAAGCGTGTAGTTCCTATAATATATAACATATCGAGATGCTGAATTTTTTTCTATAATGTTTGAACGCGGCATGCTGCAGACCCTATTTTTCATTACTTTTCTATTCTTATACTTGTTATTTACAACTTTAAAGACTTCCTTGAAATAATCTAGCAAGGGTATAGGGTTACAAGGGGCTTAGAACGGGAAAAGGATTTCCAAATTAGAAATATGTTCAGACTATCACTGTCGATATAGTCCAGTGAAATTAAACATTTTGCCCCACATTAATTAGAAGTGTCGATTTTTTTCTTTAATAAAAAGAGGTCCATATAGTTTAAATGTGAGTTTACGGCTTCTGGGGGTATGATAACTTTGTCCGCCATATTAAAAAAGGGATGAAATTTTGTTTCGCTAATAGCTCGTAAAATATCACTTTTACGCAAAAAATTGTAGACAAAAATTTTATAGACAATAAAAATCCCTATAATATTTATAAGAACTGTTTTTCAAAAAAGTTATTACTTTTCATGTAATGTTACAAAATGTAAAAAAGTTGGGGGTGGAAAGTGACATTTTTACAATTTAAATATTTTAAATACTTTTAATAAAAGTAGAAGGGATCAAAATAAGAAACAACTTTAAAGTTTACTTTTTTTCATACGATAATTAGGTACGGCTGCAGAACGCTTCAAACTTTACAAATACCGAGTGTCTGTTACACATGAACACCATAAAGAAATTATGTAAGCCACTTTTAGAAAAATACATTAATAAAACATGACAATTTTTTTTTAACAAGAAGGAGAGTTTACTCTCTAAAACTGAATCAGTGAAATTTGACTGAGAATCAGTGATTCTATTCTTGCGATTTGAATAAGTTAAATTTCACTGAAGATCAATTAAAAAATATTGAAATTTCAGTAATTTTTCACTGATTATCCAATTAAAAAATAGCTCAAATTTTCAATATGTATGACAGAAATTTTTAGTAGTTTTCTAATTGGCGAATCACTGGAAAATGACTGAAATTTCAGTTATTTTTAACTGATTTTCAGTGAGGTTGGTAAATTTTTCCTCCATATTGAAAAAGGGGGGAAATTCTGTTTCGCAAACAGCTCGCAAAATATAAGCTTTACGCAAAAATTTGTAGAAGATAATTTTATGGAGCACAAAAACACTTACAATATTTATAAGATCTATTTTTTTAAAAAGTTATTACATATTTTTCATGTAATGTTGCAAAATTCGAGGCAAAATTTAAATAAGTTGGGGTTGAAAAGTGACATTTTTACAATTTTCGCAAAAGACATCCAAATTATGACGAAATACTTTTAATTAAAGTTGGACAATACATTAATGAAACATGACAATTTTTTTAACGAAAGCGAATTGTTCATAGAGTT